CTTTGGGGGCAAAAGCCCCGGCCCTGGGCCCGTGTTCCTTGCCACCTCTCTCCTGCACACAGGCCGCCATGATGGCAGAGGAGCTGAAGAAGGAGCAGGACACCAGCGCCCACCTGGAGCGCATGAAGAAGAACATGGAGCAGACTATTAAGGACCTGCAGCACCGGCTGGACGAGGCGGAGCAGATCGCCCTCAAGGGCGGCAAGAAGCAGCTGCAGAAGCTGGAAGCGCGGGTGCGGGAGCTGGAGGGTGAGCTGGAGGCCGAGCAGAAGCGCAACTCAGAGTCGGTGAAGGGCATGAGGAAGAGCGAGCGGCGCATCAAGGAGCTCACCTACCAGGTGCGGCGGGGGGCCAGGGGCCAGGGGCCAGGAGTACATGTGGAAGTGGCTTCTCTGGCCCCGCTGCCCCACCCACACAGGGCTCCTGTTACCTCCTCCTTGAGATGCTGTTGGTAGATTTAACCTTCTTCTCACGCTGTGCAGTCAGTTTGACTTGAGCCTATGAGTTTTTCCAGCAAATGAAGAATCTACTTCTACTTCCTGAAAACTCTTCTAACTAGCCTTTCCCCAGGTTTTTTTTTTTTTTTTTTTTTTTTTAAATAACTCAAAGTGCTACCATGAAGACTTCAGAACAGTCCAAAGAATCTTTCCACCTTCAACTGTGGGGTTAAGAGTCAGGCGAGGGGAAAAGACACGGAAATCTTCCATGGAACTTCTGGCACACAAAGAGAAGGCCACAGAGAAAGAGGACCCCAGAATGTTTTAAGACTGCCATTTGCATAGCTCAGAGTTGTGCCCTTGGCCCGTTATTTTCAGCGTACCTGGGAAGAAAAGGCCAAGGAGACGAGGGTGTCAGTCCATTTGATAGATGGATACCAGAGGCACAAGAAAGAGGTTACAGATACAGAACCACAGAGTGATTTGTGAACAGAAGTAGAAGTGGCATCCTGGCACATACAATGATGAAGAGATAAGAATGATCGAGTGATGTTGGAGCCAGTGATCCCGATGCCTGAATTCTGGTCTAGTACAATGTATTAGAATGTAGAATAATCTGGATTATGATAATACCCCCTTCTTTCTGCATTCCTCATTATTCCTCTTCTGGTCAAGAACTGCTGGCCAAGAGAACCTATGTAGGTCCAGGTTGGAGCTTTAGCCACCAGATTGGAGCTGGAACAGATCTGGTGCTTTTATATTACCACATTAGGAAATTCCATAGGTTCTGAGCCCCTCCCCCCACTTCTACCTTTAAGACTTCAGCCTTCATTGCTTTGTGGATCCTTGACTGACAACCCTGCATTGCCCCTTTGACCTGCAATGGAGTCAGAGAATCTTCCCCACCACATCTTTGACCTGGACCATTGCAGGGAGGGGCAGCAAAGGCAAAGGGAGAAGAGTAAAATGATGGAGGAGGGAAAGGTGATTGCATTTGCTCCCCCTCCAAACTGGCTTCTCCCACCCTCCCACCCCCAGACAGAGGAAGACAAAAAGAACCTGCTGCGGCTGCAGGACCTGGTGGACAAGCTGCAACTGAAGGTCAAGGCCTACAAGCGCCAGGCCGAGGAGGCGGTGAGTTCAGAGTTTTCTTCCCTTTCTCATCAACACACCTACTATATGTGAGAACCAATGCATGTCTCCCCCAGAGGAGCCTGGTCAAAGAGTTTGCTATAAGCTGTAACTCTCAAACATTTATTGTACACATCTGGTATGCTCAGAGCCGTCAGGTGTTCTGAATTAACAAAGGCACCACCTACAAGCTGCTTACAATTCAGACACCATAACCCAACAGAAGGCTAGTGCAGGACATGAGGCAGCCAAAGCTGAAGGCAGGAAGGTGGCAGTGGAATTGGGCCTGGAAGGGGACCCAGCTAGGCACAGGGCAGTGGGGAAGACATCTGGGTGTATGTGAGTTGCTGGTGAGCATGCCTGCGCAGGGACAGGTGCAGCAAAACAGGATTCTGAAGGGTCCCAGATCAGGCAGCATGGGATTTGTCTTGGGCAGTGGATGGCCGTGAAGGACTCTGAGTGCTGGACATGTTTGAGGAGAGCACAAGGCAGGTGCAGGATACCCTTGGAAAGGCTGTTGCAGGAATATGCATGAGGCATGTGTGCCTCAGGGACAGGGAGCTGGAACCTCAGGTTGAGAGGCTGAGAATCCCACAGCCCATCTCCAGCTCATTCACCCATCCCCATTGTCCCACCACAGGAGGAGCAAGCCAACACCAACCTGTCCAAGTTCCGCAAGGTGCAGCACGAGCTGGATGAGGCAGAGGAGCGGGCAGACATCGCTGAGTCCCAGGTCAACAAACTTCGAGCCAAGAGCCGAGACATTGGCGCCAAGGTGGGTCCCTTCCCTGGGCTTCACTAGTCACTTCCACATTAGCATGCCCCCTGATTTGGGTGCCCCTCGGAGTGGGCACTGCTTGCCCTATATGTAGGCAGTTCTGGGGGTCCCACAGCTCACGTAACCTGAGAATCCACTCTTGTGCTCAAAACAGCCCCCCACTGACTAGAACTTCTGCAGAGATCCCCAGTTCCATCCCCCTAAACCACAAGTGCCTCTAACTTGAGACCACAAGATCCCTGGAGCCCTGCCTCTCCCCCCAAGGACATCTCCCTTAGGCCTCTGAAAGCCCCAGGGATTTGTCCCCACACACTTCTCCCTCTTGCCAGCTCCCCACTCACACCTCTTATCCTTGTTGCAGCAAAAAATGCATGACGAGGAGTGACACTGCCTCGGGAACCTCACTCTTGCCAACCTATAATAAATATGAATGCCAAACTCTGCCTGAGCCCATCTGTCCTTCCTGCCAGCTGTCCATCCTGGATCAAGGCAGTAGGGGGCCTGAGAGGAGGGAGGCCCCCAGCCCCTGTATCAGAGCTGCCAGACCCAAGGCATCTCGTATCCACAAGGAAAGAGACCGAGGTGCAGAGGAGTGAGGTGTTCTGCCTGAGGTGGACAACTGTGAGTCCCAGTTCTGCTCAGTCAACCACACAAGGGCGGAGAGGGAGAAATTTCAAAAGTGGAGAAAACGATGGCATCAAAGTGGTGAGCCAGTCCTAGATGGTAGGAGATAGAATTTTGGTGCTGAAGTTGAAGCCACTCTCCACCTACCCCACCCCTGAGGCTGCAACGATTAAAGGTGTCCTAGGACCCCCTTTCTTTCTGAGATGAATTTCTCACCAATGCCAGAAAAAGCTCAGAGCTGGCTGAGAATTAAGGTATGGGAAAGGAGATGGGAGAGATTCCATTCTAGTCAGTTCCTAAGAAGTAACTCCCAGGGAGCCCCCTCCCTGTCTTCCCCAGGGGTCTCCCCCTGTCCCCTGTGATTCAGCACCTCACTGTGAGGGCATCTTGAGACTCTGGGGCCAATCAACACTGAGCCCAAACCAATATGCCATGAGGACCAAGCCTGGGCATTGCTCATTTCATGTTAGTTCTCACACAGACACAGACAGCACAGGTGCCTGTACAGGGAAACACTGCGGTCATATTTCTGCTCTCTCTAAGCTCCTATTGGGGACAGTCTTGCCTGAGTCACACAGCTGCTTGTGGGAGAGGACCGGTCCTGACACCATTCTGCACAAAGCAAATCCCCACTCCCCACTGGGCTTTGCAACCAGGCTCTGCTAACCACCTCCTTAACCCTTCACCCGGCACCTTATCTCCCTGACTCCCCAAGTGGAGCCTCTTCTATCCCTCCTCTGAGACTACGAGAATGGACTGTGCATAAAGCCCTGAGAACTGTGAGCAGTGACCAGAGAAACACAAAATCCTGTTAGTTCTAGCCCAGGAGAGGCTGCCAGCCCTGATGGTGAGCCAGGACACAAGGATAGGAGAACAGGAAGCAGGAGGCAGGAAAAAGACCAAGAGAGAGGAGTGGTTGCCACCAAGGAAGCAGAGCACAGTGACCAGAGTTCAAGATCCAGGGCTCAGGCAGGACTTGGGAGCTGGGGCCTGCAGCTGGAAGGAGCGCTCCAGAAGAAAGATTGTATCTCAGGGCAGGAACACACATGCATCAGGGAGAGGAGATAGCACGTCAGCTGGGATGGAACTGCTGAGCCAGGTCATGCTGGGCTCCTTGGGCTGGGCAGGAACGTCTGGCTGCATGTCCGTCTGTCTCAGCCCAGCAGGGCTGACTCCTAGGCTGCAGCAGTGTCTGCTCCAAACTCAACCGAGCCTTCCCATAGCGTTCACCATGGGGATGCCTTGACCAGCTTGTGTCTTTCCCAGCCTTTGAGTACTCAAGGGCAGGCCCCTCTGTCACCTCTGAGGCTCTGGCACCCAGCACAGAGGCTGCGCATGGGAGATGCTCAGGAAATGTGTGCTGAGGAGCTGGCAAGCTGGGAAGGTGGACCCACAGTGGAGGGACGAGTTGGCCGTTCTTTTCTGAGCTACAAGGAGGCTCAGTACAGTATCCAGAACACTCGCTTAGGTGTCAGAAGAGCTGTGTTCTGGCCCTAGCTCTGTCACAAATGAGTTCACCTCCCCTAGCTGGGCCTGTTTTATCTTATGTGAAATGAGGGCATTGCACCAGCTGATATGCACAGGCTCTCCCAGCATTCACATTCTGGGAAATCTCTCCCTTCTCTGATGCCTCAGGCTGCCCTCTCCCTGCGTCCTGTGGGCCAAGTCTTCCCCACACCACAAGGGGGAGCTCTGCACACACCCCAGGCGAGTGCGTCGCCTCCAGCCCACTAACCTATGGGAACAGGTGTGGTGGTGGGTGCACGCTCCCTTGAGGAAGGCTGTGCCTTCTCAGACACAGAACTCCAGATGCCCAGCCACCAGGCACACCACAAAGTGGCCATGCACACAGAGGTGTAGCGTAGAAGTTTTGTGTTGGAAGATTTCAGCTTCTTCTAGCTAGCCCCCACATCCTCACTGCTCAGACGCGGTCCCAGAGACAGACCACGACCTGCTCCCGCAACATTCCCATGAATACTCCTTGGCATTCCTGACCTGCCTAATTTCTGGGGAAGAAAGAGACTTGCCAGTAGAATTTGAATATTTTAATTTGGGAATGACTTAGGGGCCCAGATTCCTCCCCACATAAGTTCCCCTCCTCTGGCCAGAGCTTCATCAGGAGCCAGATCCCGGAGCACCAGGCTCCACAGATAAGTCCCCAGTGACGTCTCAGGCTGGACATCTCCGTAAGGCTGGGGTGGGGTTTGGCGGGCTGGGGGTTAGTGAATCCCAAGGAGACGTGTCTGGGCTCCACTGTCCCCTCTGGCTGGCTAGGCCTAGAAGCCAGGTAGCCCCAGAGTCACTGCTGGTCCCCTGTGAGGATGGAACCAGGTAGAGAACCACGTCAGGATGAGTAGCTAGGGTTGGGGAGGGCATCTCCTCTCCACAGAGCACGGGCACTCACCCTGGATGGCCCCGGGTGCCATCTCAGTCCGGTAGATCTTGAATGCATCATAGGCAAAGACGGAAACCAGGATGATGCCAAAAACCTGTGGGAGTGCAAGTGGGGATGGCAAAACAGGCTATCTGGCCATTGGGTTAAGGTATAAGGCGAGGTGCAAGCCAGAACCCCAAGCCCTGGCTGTGGCTTCTGACACAGAAAGTGTGCAAGCACCAGCCTGAGCTCTTGAAGGGCTGAGGAGTCCTGCAGGGCTGAACTCACAAAAGCAGCAATGGCAGCTCCATCCCGGGAGGTCACAGCTGCAAAGGAGACCACCAGGAAGATGATGATGGCACTGACACAGCGCAGGAAGTCCTGGGGACCAGGGGTGCAGGGTTAACAGGACCTCAGAAGGCAGGGGGCGTTGCTCTGAGGTTTTCCAGGCTAGCCAGCAGCCCTACCCTGAGGGATTCTGAACCCCTCCATGGGATACCCCTCACACAATATGAAGCACATTCAAGAGACAGAGCGCTCACACTGCTACCCAGGGAGTGGAAGCAGATGAACCAGAGCAACCAGGACCAGAAGCCAGGTGCTAGGGCTGGAGCCCAGGTGACAGCAGCTGGAGTCCACCAGCCAGGGGGGTCAGGCCAGGCCAGGGCTAGGGCTGGACCTTTGCTGAGTGGGAGAGCAGATCTAGCGGATGTGGTCCTCCTGATTGCCCATGGCCCTGCAGCTGTGAAATCAGTGTGAGTCAAAGCACACCTTTGAGCACAGGGCATAGCACGGGGCAAAACCCAGCTGAAATGTGGAAATGGAAAGAAGCTCGGGGAGGAAAGGAAAACACACCATTTAGAGGAGAAGGAAGGGCCCCAAACTGGGCTGGGGGTCAAGGTTCCTCACCAGACAGGGCCAGTTAAGCCGGTTGAAGTGCTGGTAGTACTGGGTGGCATAGAGGAAGAGGAAGGCAAGTGTGATGAAGAACTCCAGCAGCGCCGCGGCCATGTAGGCAGAGATGGAGGCCGTGAAGCAGATGAAGATGATGAGGGTCAGGGCCTGCAGTACCGAGCATGTGGAACATGCCAGGAAGGGGACACAGGCAGGGGCCAGGGCTTTGCCTTCCCCTCCTTGGCAGCTCCCCTAGGCTGGCACCTACCACCTGTCCTTGGAGGGAAGGAAGGACTCTGGCACATCTCCCTATTCCCTGGTGTTAGGAACCACCGTTGCAGGGCATTTGCCCATCAAGGGCAGTCTCCGGCCTCCCATTCTGTTCACCCAGCAACCCCAGCAGTCTGGCCAAGTCATACGGCTCCCAGGAGCACTATTCCACAGTAATTCACGGGTACAGTGTGAATGCCAGCCCCTGGAGTTGTGCCCACAGAGACCCCACTCCACAGGGACCAAGAGGTGCCCCCTGCTCCGTAATGCTTTCCCCACCCCTAGATGCCTTTGATTCCATGCCAAGAGAGAAGGCAGACGCTGCACAGTAGACTCTGGGGACCCCTTTAGCTCTGATGACCTAGGGTGGCATACATGCAGAGGCCTTAAGTCTACACTGTGGTCTTGCTAAGAAGGGGGAAGATCCTTTCCTGAGAAGAGATGTTTCTGGGCAGCAGACCACAGATAAAGTGCAGCTGCAGGAAGTCTGCCCTTTTTGATAGTTAGACTTCTTGGACATGCTGAGAAGTGGCCATGTTAGAGGCTGTCATTGCCCCTGTCCCATCCCTATGTCTCACGCTCCCTCAATGTCCCAAAAAGTCATCCTGTCTGACTGCAGTCCTTCCTGCTGCAACTGAAACCGGCTGTAAATGCCTCCAGGTGCAGAGGCAGCAAGAAGGCAGAGTAGGAGACGAAGAAGGGGCAGCTGGGGGCAGGAGAGGTGTCCAGAGGGCCTGGGGAGGGAGGCTACTGAAGGGCAAGCTGGGGACTGGCATAAGGCTGGCCAGGAACCAGGGGTCAGGGAAATGGAGGCACCAGGTTGGGGAGGCAGCTGTTACCAGCTCGGTTTCCAGCAGGATGCCTTTGTGGGAGGTGAAGAAGGCCTTGTCCACCGCGAAGCCCTGGAGCTCTGCAACTACCCCCTCCTCAGGGGGCCGGTCCCGGCGATCCCGAACACTGAGCATCTTCATGGGGCCCACCAACACAGCCCCTACTGCCAAAAGCCCAGCAAGAGAAACAGAAATCTGGCAGGATGGGGAAACAGACAGGAGCAAGAAGGCACTTCGAGAAACCTGAAAGTGAAGCAGGAGCCTTGCCCACAGGGCCCCGCGAGAGAAGGCAGCCGCTGGGGGCCTTGCCCAGATGGGCCTTCACCCAGCTGCCCAGAGTGCCTCTGTTGCTGCCCGCACCAGCCCCCTAGAGACCCATGGGGAGGGGCAGAGAGGGAGGAGGCTCTAATCCCTCCCCTTGCTTAGAGCCCAACCCAGCCTGGAATAGAGAAGGGAGGGAAGAGGAGGAGGTCCGAAAAGAAACTGGGAGGAGCTGGGATGTGAGTAGAGGAACAGGGGCAGGACTGGGAGCCCCCAGGGACCTAAGCCTGAAGACATTTGTGTCCCCCTTCCCTAACTTTAACCCTCTTCTCTGGCTGGTCCTTTCTCCCATTTCCTTTTAGGGAGGGTGTGAGCTGGAGCCCAGCCCAGGCAGCACCCCCAGGACCAAGCTGCAGCAGCCAGGACTGGAGGACAAAGGCGGATTGTTGGGGGACAAGGGGGCGCTGTGTGCCTGCTGCAATGCCTCAATGGACCTCTGTCTCTCCAGCATGCTGGGAGCGCAGCCTGGCCCCCACCCTGGTGTTCGGGATGGGCCAGGGAGACAGAGATGGGAGAGGACGGGAGGGTGCAGCAGAAACTCTGGAGGGCAGAGAGAGCTGGCAGGGTGGACAGAGGTGAGGGCCGATGGTGGAAAGAAGGGACAGGCTGGGAGACCGCGAGGTGTTCAGGCACCACAGATGCCAAAAACAGATTAGGCCATTTTAAAATAAAGATATTTATTTGGATAAATCTCTATACATTCAATAACAGCTTCCTCCTCAGAATCATCCATGTCAAAAGACCAGTAACTACACCAGAATGCACCCAAAGTAGATGTTTCCTGAGTGATGAGTAAACAAGCAAGCCAATAAAATGAGGGGCTCTTTCTTCTCCGGCAAGGGGAAAATATTTAGAAAGTGCCTGTGCTGGGCCAGGGTAGCAGGGGATGGGAAGAGAGGAAGAGACAGGAGTGGTGGCCTCCAGAAATGGGCAGAACTTTGAAAACCTTTCCTGAGAGAAAATGACAGGACACCAGCTTCCAGTGGCCCTAAGCAGCAGTTGCTCTTTTCAAAATGTGCAGAAGTGCAGGTTTCCCCCGAAGCCCCCCATCCTGTCCTGGGATCTTGCTGCTGCAGACGGCACTTCACAGGGGCCAAGCATCTGGGCATCCTGGCCCTTCGTGGCAAGTGGTTGTACACCTGGCTCCAGGTTTCCCAAAAAGGGACCAGCCTCCAGCAGGTCCGGCTAGCCCATCACACGGGGCCGCACACACACACAAGCCAAGGAAACACGGTACAGCCTGCGCTCCAGGCAGTAGCCCTTGTGGTTGCCCTTCTTGCCATGGCACGGCCGCCGGTAGAAGACAGTCTGGTTGTGGTAGAGCAGCTCCGAGTTGCCCCGGGGGTCCATGTGGGAGCCTGTCTGTAGGCTGACGCAGTGTGGGCACAGGCAACGGGCGTGGTACAGGTCCTGGGGGAGCCGGTTCAAGTCTCTGTCCAACCTGTGGGGGCGGCACTTGTAAGGCCCTGGAAAGATGGGCCAGAAACAGAGAGGGTAGGGTGGCATGGGAGTGCCAGAGGAAGGAAATGGTCCCTCTGGGGCCTTGGCCTCTTGTCTCAGTTCTGCACCCACTTGCTGTGTAACTTTGAACAAGTCACCTCCCTCCTCTATTAATTTTTCCCCACTGTAAATGACAGTAGCAGGTGACAGAGTACTTTCCAACTGGTCCTGGGACCCTGAGGGAGGCAGCGGAGGGTGAGCAGGCTCCTGCCTTAGCCTCCATTGACTAGCACTGCTTCTATCTGGCTCAGCATGAGGTTTCTTACTGTAATGATTACACTTTAGATTTTTGTTTGTTTGTTGTTGTTGTTGTTTGTTTGTTTGTTTTTGACAGAGTAACCAGGCTGGAGTGCAGGGGCACGATCTTGGCTCAACTGCAAACTCCACATCCTGGGTTCAAGCGATTCTCCTGCTGCGTGCCACCATACTTAGCTAATTTTCATATTTTTAGTAGAGATGGGGTTTCACGATGTTGGCCATGGTTGGCCAGGCTGGTCTTGAACTCCTGACCTTAGGTAATCCACCCACCTGGACCTCCCAAAGTGCTGTGATTACAGGCATGAGCCACCAGGCCGGACTTTAGGCGGTGTTTCTATTATTATTATTACAGCATTATTGCAAAAGTAAAAACCACTCTGACATCCAAGTATAAAAGAGTATAAAGAGTGAAAGCTAACAGTCTCTGCCTACCAGTCCCACTCCCGAGAAGCTATCCTCAACTATTTCCTGCACATTCTTCCAGACGCTGTACAAGCTTATATTATAAGCATACTTGAGAGTGCATGGAAAGACTTCTTTACTTATTCTGAAAGGATTTCATGGCAAAGAAATAAAAAAAGAAAGATGAAAAACACTGAAAAGTAGATGTCCCATAGGTCTGCGACTCCGTTAGTCTGACAGGTGACAGTCCCCAGCTTGTAGGACTATTCCCCACACAGACAAGCCCTGGCAAATGGGTTTAGCTAGCACACCACTTCCCAAAGTGGGTTCCCTAATAAATCACCTACACCTGTTAGGTGCTTAAATGAATTTGGGAAACACTCGTTTAATGGTTTACTTTCTATAGACTTCTTGCAGACTTTAATGTACAGATGACAGTATGAATCTCCAAGGGGTAGGAGATAGAGCAGTCTTTCCTAAGTTTACCTGGCATAACTTTTTTCTGAGAAGCAGTTCACGGGATGAGCGTTGCACAGAACACACTTTGGGGAAAGCCACCTGAGTGGTTCACAGACTCCCAGCAAGGGGTCTGGAAGACAGCTGAGTTAACCTCTGGCACCCAGCCTCCCCTAAGAGGCTCCCGTGCCATCTGATTTGGCCCAGGACCCAGCCGGCTTCTGAGACCGCTCCAAAGCATCATGACCTGTAGTATCCACACTAGATCCAATCTCAGTTAAATCTGACCCCCTCCCCACCACTGAACTTCTCCATCCACCCCAAAGCCAATGCTAAGACAGAACTAGAAGGAAGAAGTGAAATCATACGTCTGGAATCCCTAAGACCCTAGTTTTTAATATTTTGCTTCATTTTTCTTATTTCAGTGCTTCCTAATAGTTTTCATATCATGGCACAAATAGAGAATTATAATATTTATGTGGCACACTGAGTGAAAGAATACAGTAACCATGATAATGATCAAAGATATCCAGTCCACAGCTCCAGCCAGCCAGCTGCCCGTAAAAGCTGAGGGTTTCACTCCCTTAGTATGCTTATAATTAACCCATTCATGGCCTGGGCAGTATCATTTGATATTGGGATGCTTCATGCCTGTATCATGCTATTATTCCCTAATATTTTACCCAGAAAAACATGGGCCATTATAGATATTTTTTTAAAAGAAAAGGAGAGAACCAACATAAATACAGACTTTTACATAGATTATATTTCATTTGATTTGCACATTAGCCTATGGGGCATTATATCATTTTACAGGTGAAAAAAAATCCTGAGTTTTGAAAACTTGAATTGACTCAGGATCATCCAATGAGAGTCAGAACTAGGACTCGAATACAGATCTTGTCCAATTCCCAAACCTTTACAGCCCCTCCAAGATCAAAATGGGAAAGTAAGCTGGAACTGCCCTGGTCCCTCACACGTACCCTGACCAGCACACACAGGGGAGCACGTGCAGGCATTCGGGGGGGGGCAGCAGACTCACTCATATCTCCAGGGGGAGATGGCCCTGCTGTTGAGGGGCCCATCTTCACTGGCCCTACAGGATACTGAGTGGAAGTCGAGGCTAGCCGGCTTTAGGGGAGGCACAGGCACAGTGCTCCACCTCAGCAACTCCTCAGACGGGTATCCTTTGCTGGGGCAGCAGCTGGGCCAGTGGCTGTAGGTGTGGGTTCCCATGACCATTGCCAAGAATGCAATCACCTGTAGGAAAAGGCTAATGAGAGAACTGTTCTCACCTAATCTGGGTTGCCCCCTCATCTGCACCCTCCCCCTGGGATCCCAGTTTCTCACTCCACCTGGCCCCCTTCCCCAAACCTGGCAGCTTGGCCTCCCTCCACCCTCAGCAGCATCTCTGCTCCTCTCCCTCTCAGCATAGCCCTCAAGCAGCCCTCTGCACTGACCTGGTACATGCTGGGCACTGCGCACTCAGTCAGGTGGAGCACTGGCTGACAGACCTCGTGGAAGCAGGCTGACTGGAGCAGGTTAGGAGTCCTGATTTTATTTTCAGCAAGCCTGTTTTGTTTATTCAAATTTATTTCCACTATCTTTTAGGGAGTGACTTGAGATTAAAAAACAAAACAAAACAAAAAACTCTGAAAGTATTTCCAAAGGCTGCCTAAAATGCGATACTCATGGAAGTTGTGATGACCATCATTATATGCCTGGTAGCTGATAGGGTAAACTTTGCTCTTTGAACTTTTCTAGACGTGGGGTCAAAGCAATAGCGGTCTGCTGTTCTGTGTTCTTGTGAACTGGCATTTGCAGAATTTCCCTGGTTGGTTTGGTAGCCAAAATTAGGAAATGTCTTGTGGCCTCCCTTCAAGAGGCCTCATTTCCATGATCCATTCTGTTCCCATCCAGGGTCTGGTTTCACCATTCCCCTCTTCTCAGGTGTCCTCCTGATCATCCACCTTCGTGATTATTTCCTTTCCCTTAGATAACCTTTGACTCCTATCCCCTTTGTTCTATGACCTCTTCCACATTTTCGATGACCCCAAAATTCTATGACCCCCATCATCTGTGACTTCTCCCCCATTGTCCATGACCTGCTCCCTAACTCCCCCGTGCCCTCGCCAGTCACTGCCCCCCACCCGGGTATACAAGCCTACCCTCACAGGGCTGCCGGAAGGCCCTGACTTCCTGAGTTTGTTGACTGGATGGGCAAGGTCTGATGGAAGAAGCTGTGGGTGAGTGTTCCCATTGCACAAATGAGAAAGTGAAGCAAGGAAGAGGGAAACTGAAACAGCCTCACGTAAGACCCAGTAGGAAGGAGGTCTCAGTTCCAGGGACCAACCTGCTCTCATTCACAGAGCCGTGGGGACCAAGCCTATGACAGGGCCAGCTACTGCTTTCAGGCCAGGAAGTGAGCCCACTCAGCCTCAGCAGGCCCAGAAACATGGGCCACTGTCAGCCAGGAGGGAGTATGTGTGCCCCAGAAAGGCTTAGAGTTGAATTTGACCCCAAAGACACAGGTCAGCCGGCTCCAGGCTGCTTGAGAGACACTGTGCTGAGAGTGGGCCAGCCGGTCCTTCCCCCCAGGTCCTTCTCTTAATGCTTGCATATTGGCTTGCCTCATCCCCCACACCCACCCAACATACCCATACGCAGACATTGCCCCTAGAATGATGCGGCTTGATTTGCATGTGCTTTCCCTTAGAAAATACTCCTCTAGTAACCAAGGACTCAGGAAATAAACAAAAGGAACCAGGAATAACTTAAACTGCAAAGTGAGGAGGAATCTTTCCAATGCATTAGGGCAAAGCAGCCCTAAAAGAGAGAAGTGATGAGGTCAGAGGGCGATCTGGAAAATTGGGAGAACCTGCTCTGCTCTGGTGAGTCTTGGGGCACCTGGAACTGTGGGATGGGGGGCACTTAGAAGAAGCAGGTGGTGGCTGGGAGAGCTGGGGCACTCAGGAAGAGTCATAAGGCCAGTATCATGGCCCTACTCTCACTGCCTCACCCTCTGCCCCCAGTACTTGCAGACGTCCTCTCCCTTCCATATCCTGCTGGCCTCAGCTCCTGTGCACTTACATGTGCCAGGCATGGTGCTAAGCCCTGGGCATGCCTCATCTCATTTTATCCTTACAATGAAACATGACATGGAAACTATTATCCCCATATTACAAATGAGGAAACTGAGGCCCAAGGAAATTTAGAAACTTACCCAAGATCACAAAGAAAGAGGCTGAGGTGGTTTCCCATTTCCAGCTCTGACCAATTATTCCACATCTAACCTGGCATGGAAGTGCCACACCGTGCCTACCCCCAGTTGGCTGTGAATGGAAGGGGAGCACCACAGTGAATGCTTTCCTACTCACCTGGGCTTGGGTTGGGACAAGTTTCAACAACACCTGCTGAGGGCCACAGGGTGTGTCTGCCTGCTTAGGCATCCAGCCCTGCTATTGGGATTCACTGCACTAGCTCCCTTTCCTAGCCTTTGGTCTGGCAGACATGGCCTCAAGGTGGCTTCTGGTGCTCCTGGGAAAACTTCAATCCCAAAACAGACTCTTACGAGGCAGTGCTGTTTCAGGAGAGCTGGATTCCTATGGATCTCACTCTCACCAATCAGAACCTCAGGGCTAAGAAGGTAGTAGAACTGGAGTTGGCTCAGATCTCCTATCTTGACCCCTTCCCAGGAGGGGATGTTCAAAGGAGCCAGAAGTGATCCCAGCTACCTGTTTCACTTGCTGACACTGCAGGGAAGACCCAGCCTAGGTCACCAGGAACGTCGCCCTTCAGAAGAGTCCTTTGGGGTGTCCCTTTAGGACACAGGGATAACCCCTCCAAGAAGGGTTGGCTTTTCCCACCCCCATGATGACCAGGACTTACCTGAGAAACTGTGCTCTGAGCCACATGCCCCCACCCCACCCCACTTGCTCACCCTCTGTCCTTATCTCAGTAGCAGCTTTGTGGGACTCCTTAGGGTGACTCCCTGTCATGAGAAACATTTTCCAGTGGGGTTTCCTCCTGCGGTGACTAGTTTTGGAATCCCTGAGTCACTTCAGGTTCCAGGGAACCCTTGGGGGTGTGAGGATAGGTGGGTGACAATAGGGAGAAGGCTGGAGGCAGGGAACAAAGGAAGGTCTGCATGTCAAATGACATCAAGGTCCCCTCCCAGCACGTCTTCACCTGCCTAGGCCTGACCTGGCAGCTGAAGAGACCTTCCTGGGATTCCTGTCCCTGTGGCCCTGAGGAAAGAGAGAAGCACCTGTCAGGAAAGGGCAGGGAAGATGTGGTGGAATACACTTCCCAATCTTGGCTTGGAAAGGCTCTTGGGGCTTGCAGAACGTGAGAATATGTCTTCCTTGCCCCTTCTCAGGAAGATATGCAAGTTTCCACCTGCTGCCTTGAAGTCTTGGCCCTGCCAATGACCAGCTCCGGACCTTGGGCCCTCTCTCTGCTCCTCCCTCTTCAATTGTAGAAGTGGATGGGTTTGGGTGGGCGGGGATTGGGGGGAATATTAACCTGGATGGCCACAAAGGTGCCAACCAGCTTAGCTGCTCCAGATCTCAGCTCCTGAAATAGTGCTGAATCCATAGGACTCATCAGGGCCTATCGAAGCTCATCGGCACTCCCTGTACGTGAAGCTAGGGCACTGAACGTCAAAATGTTGAAATACTTCTGCACCTGCTGGTAAGTAGAAGCTTCCCTCAACCTTGGGACATCACCTTACCATACCTCTCTATGATCCAGCAACTAAAGGTTGAACACCTGGCACAGATGGAGGCCCCCAGAACAGTGCTCCCACTTTCTGATTGGTAATGGTTTAGCTACAAAAATGCCTAGGCTCAGGAGCAGCCTTCAAGGAGAACTCAGTCTAGACCCTGGGAGACACATGGAGAATCAGAGTTAGCAGAACAAGGAACCCAACAAATCCATGTCTTTAGCCCAGGGCTGGAGCCTTCCCCAGGAGGCCCCTCAGCTTACTCAGTTTTGTCCTATGGTCATGGCTGCCTTCGTTCACTCATCCACTCACCTAATATTTATTGTGCACCTACTGTGTTCCAAGCACTATTCTAACTACTAGAAATGCAGAGGCGGACAGGCCAGACAAGGTCCCTGCCTCATTAAGCTTACGTTTTAGGAGAAGAGAGATGATAAACAAGGAAAAAAGATCATTTCTGATAACAATAAGTGCTATGAAGAAAATGAAACAGCATTATGAGATAGGGAGTTACTGGGGGTGGGAGAAAGGAAGGCGGGGCAACTTTAAGTTGGAAAGCCAGGAAAGGCCTTTCTGAGGATGCAGGATTTGACCTGATGACGGAAAGGGTCTGGGGGAAGTGGTTTAGGCAGAGAGGGCAGGACATGCAGAGTCCTAGAGGTGGAAAACAGCATGGCATATTTGAGAAACGGAAAGGACAGTGTAGATGATGAACAAGAGATAAGGACGAGAGATGAGATGAGGTGAAAGAGGTAGGCAGGGAGCAGATCACATAGGGTCCTCCAGGCTACCACAGAGCATTTGGATTTTATTCCAGGGTCAGCAGGAAGGTATTGACTGGATTCAAGCATGAGCTACATGATATATTTCTTGAGGACAGGCACCATGTCCTTGACATGCCAGTGCCACCACAGGGCCATCACCAAATAACAATAATAGTAGTTGCCTTTGTCCAGAATTTGCACCTCATGGGCCAGATACTGTTCTTGGGATTCTCTTAATCCTCATAACAAGTAAATGCTAAAAGTTTGATTAACACTCCCACTTTACAGACAAGGAACCAGAGGCTCCAGGAAGTCACAGAACTTGCCAAGGTAACGAGCCAGTGTTGGAACCAAAATTAGAACCCAGGCAATCTGGGTGCTATGGGTCCAAAGAGAGGAGGACTGAAGAACTGGTGAGCACCCAAGAAGTTTTGGGTAGCAGGGGAAACAAGGAGAGGTCCAGGAAGTCTTGGGGTCAGTTGAGGAAAAAACCAGCTCATTGGACCTGCAGGGAAGGGGAAAGAATGGGAGAAAAGACTAGGACCCAGGAAGCCAGATGGAGGGGTTCCTTCCTTTCTTCTCCCTGAATATGGCAAGGGCAAACCTTGAAGACCTGCTGCTTGAGGCTGCCACCCACGCAGGGTCTCAGCTACCTGCCAAGTCTGGGTTTTCTCCCACCTCACCTGCCCTCAACAACGAACACGTTCAGCTTTCAGGAAAGCGCAAGTCAGAGGGAAAGCCAAGGTAAAGAGGAAAAGCCACGGAAGAAAAGCACTGTGCCTGGCAATCTACATAAGCATACTCCTCACCAAAGTCACTGCCACAGAGGAGGAACTGAGACTCGGATGCCCTATAACTGGACCAAGGTCACACAGCTAGTTAAGTAGGATTAACTAGCTGTGTGACTCTGACTGGCTACATTCCACACCTGGGTATTCCAGAAGCAGTCTTATTCCCACTGGTCTGCCCTCTGCTGTCCCTCTTCTACCCTTCCCCGGGCAGGGAAGCTGCCTGCCCATCTCCCAAGCCACCACCTTGCCTGGTCCTAGCAGCTTCCTTCCTGCTTAGCCTTTTCTGGCCTCCATCTATTTCCCCTCATGCCAGTCAAGGCATTCATCTTTGAAGACAGGGTTTCCTGACCACCTCCACCTTGGACCCCAATTTGCCTTGGCAATCCCCTGGGCAGAGATCACACCAAGTCACTCCCCAGCAGCTGGATATCTATGTGCCTGACAGCCAGGTGCCCCAGGGCCGGGGTCTGGAAGAGGTTGGAAAATCTTCCCTAGTGGCCACCTCCAACCTAACTGGAGCTGGGAAGCAGGAGATCTCCCTGGAAATTTAAAAGTTCCTCTGCTATCCTAGTGGAGTTGGAAACTATTCAGGAGTCTTCCATCACAGCCAGCCAGCCTACAGCCAACACAGTTCATCCCCATCCCCATGTTTATCCCAGAATCTCTCCCTATTCCACCCCATAGGCTCCACCACACCCTTCACGCAGAGGTTTCTTCACAGGTGCCCAGGCAGTAAGAGTGGAGAAGGAGCTGGGGCACGTGTCCTGACCACACTGTCCTAGGAAATGCCTAGATGTGTGGGTCTGTGGAATATTGAGGCGGGGTTATCTGTTCAGGTCCTCAAGTTCACCAAAGGCCTTATATTACATTTCTGATCTTATCTCCAAATAAGGTTATGCACATACACACAATAAGGTTACATATGTGTTTGAAGGGTTAATTTGTTCAATGTAAACATCCAAAATATACCACAGCTTTCAATCCTGTTTATCATCTTGCTTTTTAAATACCAGGAACCTCAAAAATGCAAGAAGGTAGGTGTCACTCAAGCTTGACAGGCCCTGATGTGTGTGTCCCAAAGGAAAGGTCCAGGGAAGCAGCACACACTAAGGAGTTATCCCAGGGCAGAGGAGCTGTGGGGGGTTAGGAGCACCGTCCTTTCAGTGGAAACTCCTGGCGGGGCTAGATCCCAGCTTCTCTGAAAGAGTTCTAGCAACTTTTGTGCCAGCGGTCCCCAGTCCTCTCCTCATAGCAGCAAGAGCGAGCCAGGCTGAAGAGGCCGACAGGCCCAGACTGGCAGAGGAGTGTAAGAGGCCGCACAACCTGCCCGCCTGCAGCTCTGGGGCCAGACGCCCTGCTTCATGTTCTGTCACCAGGGCCAGAATCCATGTCCAGCGCCAGACTCCCGCCCTGTGCCCCGCAAGAACGACCCAGCGAACCCCGCTGCCCTGCAGGGGAGGCGCCGAGGATTGGAGAGGCTCTGCTAAGGGCCCCGCTGGGCTGGAGGCGCGCGCTCCCTCCATGGGGAAAGACAGATGTGGGGCTAATGAAAGGGAAGCCGGGAGGCGCGGGGCCAGCGGGGGAGACGGGGGCGTGGCGGGGAGAGGAAAGCTCCCGGAGAAAGCCGACCGGACTGCCGCGAGCGAGGCCTGCAGCGGAGTCCAGAGGAGGAAGGCGCCGGGGACTGGGGCAGGACCAGGGCGGGAACGGGTGGGGGAGGGGTACCACAGGCAGTTGGACCCGAGGGTCCTGAGCTGAAACTCAACACCCGCCTTTGGAAGGATCGTCCCCCTTTCTCCTCCGCCCCTTCCCTTCCCCTCCCCTTTCCCCTCCCTCCTTTCTCTTAATCCCCAGGACTGAGCCCCGCGCCGGAGAGGAGAGGGCCTGAGGGGAGGAGAAAGGAACAGCACTGAGAGGGGCCAGGAGCCCAGGAAGGGGAGGGAAGGGCAGCCGCGGCCCAGGGGTGAGCCTGGGGGCCACGCGCGACCCCCGGAGCCTTCGCAGCCCTCTCAGTGTCCCCACCCCCAGCCCAGGCGAGTCCGCAGGACCCGGGACCCTGCTCCTCCTTTGCCTTCTCTTTGCTCCTTCTTTTGCTTTGTGGCCTTTCTTTCCCTTCCCAGAGACACCTGGGAGCTGCCCCCAAGCTGTGGGGCGCGCCGCGGGGTCCTGCCAAGGCTGCCTGTGAGAGGGGGCGGCGGGGTCGGCGCCGGGTGCCAGGGGCCGAGGGTGGGAGCAGGAGCTTGTGGCCTTGCGCCCTGGAGCCGAGGACTGGAAGGGGGCTGGGCCCCTCTGCCGCCTGGGCGCGGGCAGCGCGTCGGAAAGGCTGTCCCGCCTGTTCCAGTGGTGCCTGTGTGCTGGTTGCTGCTGCTCGGGGTGAGGCGCTGTGGCGGCGACCTCAGACCCCCGGGCGCGCTGAGTGAGTGCGCGCGTGAAAACCGCCGCGCCGCCGGGGGTGCGAGTGTTTGGGCAGAAGCGGCCACTCCAGCGACCCAGCCCCACAGCCACGCTCTCGGGGGTCTTTGGCTCCGGGCAACTTGGGACAAACGTCTAAGTTCTCGCTCTCCCTCCCTCCCAGCGGGGTCGCCGCAGACCCAAGCCCTGGGAGCACCGCTCTGCAGCACAGCCGGCGGGTGGAGAGGGTTGGCCCCAAAACTCGCTCGTCCAGCCCAACCGCCCCAGCGGCTTCTCCCAGCCCTCGAGGCTCTCGTGAGCGGCCTGGAGAGGCGTCGAGCGCAGCCCAGCGCCCGCCTGCTCACCTGCCCCGGCCCCCGAAGGGAACTTTCGGCTCCTGCGAGCCCGGGGCGCCCCCGCGGTCTAGGGCGGGCAGCTCCCGGGGACTGGACGAGGTGGTGGTGCCCGGGAGACCGCGGGGACAGCACGCAGCGCGCGCCCTTGGATGCGGTCCCGCAGCGACGCCCCGGCCCGCCCCGCTCCTCCTCCTGCCTGGCTAGCCTGCCTCTCATTTGGGAAGTTTTGTGGGTTTTCTTTCTCCTCCTCCGACCTTGGCGGAGGCCACGACTCAGGCGCCACAGCTGGGGGCTAGAGGCCCCGAATCATGGTGCGGGGCAGCCACCGCTGAAGTCAGCGAAACCGAGCCTGGCCTGAGGCAGGCTGCGCGGGAGGCCAAAGCCATGGCCATTGCCACGTCGGTGAGTCCACCAGGGAGAGGAGGCTGCCGGGGAGAGACCTCCACGGCCTGCCCTGCGCTCCTGTCACTTTATTTCTGCCCTCTCTTTGTCTCTCTCCTTGGTCCCTTTCTTCTCCAGGAGGCTGTGTCCCCCTCCTCTCACTTTTGTTTCCCTTCTCCCTCTCACTCCTCATCCCCTGCTCCTCCTGGCTCCGGGCTCTCCCCTCTTCCCCGCCCCCTCCTGTTCTCCTTTTTCTTACTAGAGGCTGCGCCTGAATGGAGGGGAGGGGGCAAGCGTAGCCTGAGTCCTATCTGCTTCTTTTGGGCGGGAACAGATGGCTACTGGTGGTTGGCAGGGGCTTGTGATTGGGAGGCAAGTAAAAGGTTTGGAGGGGGCTGAAAGGACCTAGTGGCTCACGGAAAACGAAAAACGAGAGGCTGAAGGACCCAAGGAGGCCCATCTCGAGACGAGGGATAGGGAAAAGAGGGAGATAGACCAAAGGAGGGACATCAGGAAGGAGAAAGAGAAGACAGAGGGAGGAGGGGAGGTGATGTCAGCCAGCCTCAGGCCACTTTCCAGGCATCAGGACAAAGGGAGGAGACAGCTGGCATGATGGGACAGTGGGAGGAGGCCTCCCAGAGAGCACAGAGGCCCTCTGCCACCCACATTAGGCTGGCCATTCCCTCACCAGTCAGCTGGACCGCTGGGGGATAGAGCAGGAGTGGCCACACCCATCATCAATCAGCCCATCAACAACTCTGTCCTGCAGTGGCAGGGCCCAGAGGCTTGGCCCCATTGGACAGAACTCAAACTTAACACCAAGGAGGAGCGCTCTACAGCCCCACCTCGGTTTTCTGTTCTACAGTCTATGCAGTCTGAATCCAGGCAGCTCTGTTCCCCTCCCACCCTCTTCTAGGTCCTGCCTAAGCTTCCCAGGGAAGCGAGGCCGTCACTTGCTTTCTGGTCCCTTCTCAGTGGGGACTCTTGGAGAGATAATTGTGAGACTGGAAAGAGAAGCACCGAGCCACCCAATGTCCTCCCATACCCTTTGAGGACAGGTTCAAGTTTGGTTCTTTCTCAGACCAAACTCCTTTTTTTTTTTTTTTTTTTTTTCCTGAGACAAGGTCTCACGCTGTCACCAGGCTGGAGTGCAGTGGCACAATCATGGCTCACTGCAGCCTCCACCTCCTGGGCTCAGGTGATCCACCTACCTCAGCCTCCTGAGTTGCTGGGACTACAAGCACGCACCACCACATCGGCTAAATTTTTGTATTTTTTGTAGAGGCGGGGTTTTGCCATGTTGCCCAGGCTGGTCTCAAACTCCTGGGCTCAAGCAGTCCATCTGCCTCAGCCTCCCAAAGTGCTGAGATTACAGGCATGAGCCACCGCACCTGGCCCCAAACTCCTTTTAGTTCCTCAATCTGTAACAATGGCCAGGAAACCCTAGCTCAGAGTGGGGACGGAGGCCCTCTGGAGATAGAGTACCTCTGGGAGTACTCTGGCATAGAGATGCTGGTTCAGGAGCCAGCTAGTCAGCTTTGTAGTCCCAAGAAGGTAGATTTTTCTTTTTATGGTCAGGGGCATTTATGCTAATCAAACTCACAGGATTCTAATAACAGCTATTACTTATTGAGCATTTACTGCACCTGGCCCTGTGCTACGCTTTGTCATAGTTTCTTTATGCATTATCTCATGCAACTCTCACAACCACCTTGTGCAGGTAGTACCGTTATTATCTGAAAATGGATACGTGCATACGGAATTCTACAAAGCAGAAAACTGAGACTCAGAAAGATTAAACAATCTGCCCAAAGGCACCTGGCTAGAAAGGGACAGACCGCCAAACAGTGGGTCGCAACGGTAATCCCAGCTGTTTAGGATGCTGAACCCAGGCATTCGAGGTTACAGTGAGTTATGATTGTGCCACTTTACTCCAACCTGGACCACAGAGCAAGAGCTGGTCTCTAAATAATTAAATATTTTAAATAAAATGTTTAAAAGAAAAAGACACAGCCAAGACTCAACCCCAGGTCTGCCTCTAGAACTGTGCTTTTAATCCCCTGGCTAGATCCAAAAGACTGATTTATAATTTACAACTAAAAAGAAAAGTGCAGCACTAACTGGGAATTTGTGTCATCTGGTTAGCGTGTTTCTTTGTGTGGGACAATATCCTTTAGAAACCAAAATATAATCAGAAAATGGTTTGACGGGTTGGGAATCAGGCAAGAAGAGGAGTCAATTTGTTGTTAAAATCACCCAGCCATGAGGGGCTGGACAACCTCACCACCAGAGGGAAACATCAACCAAGAGGAATATGCACTCCTGCTGGCTCTAGCAGGGCACCCTTCTCCCCAGGGTCTGGTGGCAGCCTGCCTGAGATATTTAACTTGAGATTTTTTTACTGCATTAGTCGGTCCATTTGGCTACCTGGCTAGTAATGCCTAACTAGCTGCTGTCCAACACTACATGTAAGTCACCACTGCCTGGGACCCTACCAGCAAGCATCATCATTTAGCAATCAAAACTGAAGCTGAATGTCATTGTACGTTTTGAGTAGTTTAAGCTTGATTCTACCAAAAGACATCATGGAGCAAGAGCACTGCGAAGGGTTATAGCAAAGGGAAATTGGATATAAGAAGGCCTTCCTGTGTGCTTGACTTGCTTTTGAGTTAGGGACTTTCTCAGCCACTGTTACTACTATTTCTTTTAAGTAGATTTCTACATTTGTGATTGTGGAGAAGCAGTAGCACAAGTAATTGAGAGCACAGGCTCTGGAATCAAGCAGTTTAGGGTTCAGATTATGCTCCACCAGCTGTGCCAGCGATATGGCATCAGACAAAGTACTAACCTCCCTCTTCCAGTTTTCTTTCCAAAATGGGGTAAGGACAGTTCCTCCCTCGTAAGGTTGTTGTGGGAATTAAATGAGATGAATTGATTAATGCAGAGATTTGCACAGTGTCTGGAAACATTGTTTGCACTTGGTACCTGTGACTTATTACTTGAGCCTGTGGCCCTTGATGGAAAAAGCTTATAAGCCCCCACCAGACAGGACTGGAAACAGGATGATACATGTTTCCTTTTGGTTGGCCTGCCAACCCCCTTCACACACACACAAAGACACACTCTGTCCTTCAGTGGAAGGGCCCATTGCTAAATGATGATGCCTGCTGGTAGATTCCAGGCAGTGGTGACACACACACAAGAATACACACTTTTCTCCATGGTAACCTCAGCCTCTTCTGGTCGAACCTTATTTGTTCAGACTGAGAGCAAACAATTGCTTTGTTTCTGTTTTCTTTCTTATTATGCCTAGGCACACTGTCTGGACTAGGCCTCTCCCAGTCTCTCAGAATGAGGGGTCTCTGCGGCTGCTTAAGCTAACCTTTTGCTAGTGAGGGATAATGACTTGGGAACAGAGAGAAGGTAAAGGAGATTCTATGAGAGACTGTAGCAGGGCTTCATATGTTTTGGAAGAAATTCATTCAACATGTGTATTGACCAATTCCAGGTCAGGCCTTATTGCAAGGACTACAAACATAGCAGTTCCCATGTCCATAGGGTTTATAATATAAGGGAAGAAATGGATATAAAAAAGCAAATAGACAAATAGTATGAAGTATGAGGACAGAAACAGTAGGTGGAGACAAACAGAGAATGGGGTGGGGAGAAAAGTAAAAAATCGGCCTCTCTGAGGAGAACTGGTCTAGTTGAAGGAACTGAAAGGAAGAGGGAGAATGCAGGTGATGAAGCTGGAGAGAAGCTAGGGCCCAGGCAGAAAGCTGCATCCAGAGTGCAGGTTTTTAGCTTGAGGGAAATGCAGAGCTCCGAAGGGTTTTGAGCAGGGGATGACATGACCTGAAAGGGGTCTGAAGACCCTTCTCCCCACTCCCACCTCCCCCACCAGGCCCAGCTGGCCCGGGCACTGTATGACAACACCGCTGAGTCCCCCCAGGAGCTGTCCTTCCGCCGAGGGGACGTCCTACGGGTCCTGCAGAGAGAGGGCGCTGGTGGACTGGACGGCTGGTGCCTCTGCTCCCTACACGGCCAGCAGGGCATTGTGCCCGCCAACAGGGTGAAGCTCCTGCCTGCTGGCCCAGCACCCAAGCCTGGCCTCTCTCCTGCACCCCCAGCCCAGCTTGGCTCACCATATCCAGCCCCAGATCACAGCAATGAGGACCAGGAGGTGAGAGTGGGAGCCTCCCCAACCCCAAGCCAGAAGAGCCCCATTCCTCCCTGACTAGCCCCACCCAGGGCCTGCAGCAGGTGGGCAGGAAGAGCCCTGAGGCCACAGCTCTTCACTGCTCTGCGCTGGCCAAAACCTGTCTACCAACCTTTCTGAGCTTTGGCCCTCTAGGTACAGGGGGAGTTGGAAGGTCTGTAAGCTCCTCGCACTCAGACATTATTTGATCACTGCCCACTGCGTTCCTCCTGACCCCCCGTCTATTTGATCCCTCAGGTATATGTGGTGCCGCCCCCAGCTCGGCCCTGTCCAACCTCAGGACCTCCAGCTGGACCTTGCCCACCCTCTCCTGACCCCATCTACAAGATCCCCAGAGCCAGTGGTACCCAGCTGGCTGCTCCCAGAGATGTCTTAGAGGTGAGGGCTAGAGGTCCCTGTGTAAGTTGGGTGGGAGACAAATCGCCCCAAGGGAGGGTTCATTGCTGAGCTGACAGATGACTGACCACTCCTCTCCACAGGTCTACGATGTGCCCCCTACCGCCCTTCGGGTGCTCTCCAGTAGCCCCTATGACTGCCCTGCCTCCTTTTCCCACCCTCTGACCCGGGTTGCCCTGCAGCCCCCTGAAGAGGATGATGCTCCCTATGATGTGCCTCTGACCCCAAAGCCACCTGCAGAGCTGGAACCAGATCTGGAGTGGGAAGGAGGCCGGGAACCAGGGCCCCCCATCTACGCTGCCCCCTCCAACCTGAAACGAGCGTCAGCCTTACTCAATCTGTATGAAGCACCCGAGGAACTGCTGGCAGATGGGGAAGGTGGGGGCACTGATGAGGGGATCTACGATGTGCCTCTGCTGGGGCCAGAGGCTCCCCCTTCTCCAGAGCCCCCTGGAGCGCTGGCCTCCCATGACCAGGACACCCTGGCCCAGCTTCTGGCCAGAAGCCCCCCACCTCCACACAGGCCCCGGCTCCCCTCAGCTGAGAGCCTGTCCCGCCGCCCTCTGCCTGCCCTGCCTGTCCCTGAGGCCCCCAGCCCCTCCCCAGTGCCCTCTCCTGCCCCAGGACGGAAGGGCAGCATCCAGGACCGGCCTCTGCCCCCACCCCCACCCCGCCTGCCTGGCTATGGGGGCCCCAAGGTCGAGGGGGATCCAGAGGGCAGGGAGATGGAGGATGACCCAGCAGGACACCACAATGAGTACGAGGGCATTCCAATGGCCGAGGAGTATGACTATGTCCACCTGAAGGTGAGCGTCCCCGGGCAGCCCCACCAGGAGGGACCCCAGGTGCACCAGGGGAGGAGTGTGGAGACCTAGGGCACAGAAGCAGAGCCTCCCTGCCTCCCTTCTGTCCCCCTTCCTTCTCCCCTGGCCCTCTACCCTGCAGCCTGGGACCCCAGTACTTGGCCACAACACTTGTACTAGTGCCACACTGTTCCTCCTAGACCCAGCCTGGGGCCACCAGAGCTCTCTGGAGTCAAGGAACTACAACCTCTGATAACAGGAGTGTCCTTGGGAAGGAAGGGAGGCTGGGAAGGGGCAGAAGGGCCACAGAAGCCACCCCGTCCTGCTCCCCCACCCCAGCACTGAGACCTCATGCCCCCCTGCAGGGCATGGACAAACCTCAGGGATCTAGGCCCCCGGATCAGGCCTGCACAAGGGATCCTGAACTGCTGGAGAGGGGAATGCCGGCACTGCAGGTGACCCTGGCGGGAATGGTGCTAGAGAAGGGGGCTGGGGAGGGAGGAACAGGGACTTGGGAGAAGAACTGAGCCATCATCCATGGAAGGAAATAGGTTAGGATGGAGTGAGAGTTCACAAGAACCAGGGACAGAGTGGAGGGCATGTTAGAAATCTACAGGAAGGAACTGGAACCTGGAGGAGGATGTTAGGAATTCAGAAAGAGGGGAAAGAATGTGTTGGAGAGGAGTCAGAAAATCAAGCAGCCAGGAGAGCAGAAAGTTTCTGAGTTGTGGGGTCAGAGCTAGGCCTGGGGACTTCTGAGCCTCCTTCCAACTGTGAATTCCTGGGCTCCTAAGAGACCTGGCTTCTAATCCCAGCTCCACTACTGAGAAGCCAGGGGCTTTGAAGCCGTCAGTTAATCTCTCCAGGCCTCAGAAAGTGAGGTGGTTTCCTCAAACCTGTGTAGAATGGTTGCAACACAATAGCTACTATTTATCAGGTATTTACCAAGTGCTAGACCCTGTGCTAGGCATGCTGCATGTGTTAGTATTAATCATAGTTGCAGTTAATACACATCTGGTGCTCACAGTGTGCAATGCACTGTGATAAGCCTTTCTCTATATTATCTCAATTGATCTTTTCTGCAGCGTCATGAGGTACATACTAGAACTGCACAATCTAGTACAGTAGCCGCTAGCTATATATGGCTATTGAGCACTCAAGATATGGCTAGTTCAAGTTGAAATATGCTGCAAATATAAAACGCACCCTGGATTTTGCAGACTCAGTATGGGAAAAATCTCAATAATTTTCATATTGATTACATGTTGAAATTATAACATTTTTATATTTGGAGTCAGATAAAATATATCAGGGTTTTGTTTTGTGTGTTTTTTTTTTTTTTACCACTTTTAATGTGGCTACTAACTCATCTAAAATTTCACATGTGGTTCACATTATGTTTATATTGGACAGTGCAGTACTAGACTCCCTGTTTTAGAGTTAAGGAAACCAAGTTCAAAGCCTTGTCTGAAATCAAGTTTGAGGTTGTTTGAATCCAGATCTATCTGATATCAAGTGTGGGCACTTCACTGCTGCTCTCTCTAGAATCTAAACTTTCCGATGGGCAGAGGTAAGAGCTAAAAGGATCGCCCTTGGGAAGAAAGGGAGGAAGGAGAAAATAAGTGAGGGAGGAAATGGCACTGATGAGAATGTTCTCTCTGACCACTCCTCTTGCCCCTCAGGAGGCCCTGTCCCCAGGGGAGCCACTGGTTCTGTCCACCGGAGATCTACAGCTCCTGCACTTCTACGCTGGGCAATGCCAGAGCCACTACTCGGCCCTGCAAGTGGCCGTGGCAGCCCTGATGTCCAGTACCCAGGCTAATCAGCCCCCGCGACTCTTCGTGCCCCACAGCAAGAGGGTGGTGGTGGCTGCTCATCGCCTGGTGTTTGTTGGGGACACCCTAGGCCGGCTGGCAGCCTCTGCCCCTCTGAGAGCACAGGTTAGGACTGGAGGTACAGCACTAGGCCAGGCATTGCGGGCCACTGTGCTGGCTGTCAAGGGAGCTGCCCTGGGCTACCCATCCAGCCCTGCCGTCCAAGAGATGATGCAGTGTGTAACAGAACTGGCAGGGCAGGCCCTGCGATTCACCACCCTGCTCACTAGCCTGGCTCCCTGAAGGTCCTTTGGCACAGCCCTGTCCCTCCCCTGTCTGCCAAAGCCCCCCTCTAGGCCTTGGGTGGCTGGAGGGCTTTGTTAAGGGACTAGGAGAAGTGGGGGTATCTTTCCCCTTTCCTGCCCTTTCTGCTCATCTCAACCTCTCACAGAGGTGTCTTCTCCCCCTAACCCACAGCTTTTTGTATGAGCCATTTTGTATAAATTATTTATATTTAATATTATTCCCTGCTTTGTCAGGAGCAGGTACTAGGCTCTGGGGCAGTGAGGAACTGGACTCTTCTCTCCTCAGCCTAGGGTGGAGGTCACTGCACTGCCACCCACCTCTGGAAGACTGGCCATGAAAAGTCAGGTGGCAGAAACCTGAGGCCACATAGAGCCTCTCTCTTTTCCTGTATCTTGGCTCTAGAAGATCAGCACTGCACTGTTAGCTGAGAGTGAGGGCAAGACATAAACTGTCCAGAGTTTGAAGGTCTCAGGAAGACCAGAGAGCTTCTCCCCACAGAAGGTGGAGAGAGCTGGGACTCAGACATGGTTGTGCACCTCAATAAACCCTGCAGTCTGCCTCCCTGACTCTGCTTCTTGGGAGCATGGTGAGCAGCCCTGGTGCTCAGCAGCCATACCTATGGGACACACACTATGAACAGGATGCCTTTAGGGATTTGGGGGAGATTTTGCTCCTTTCCTCAACAACTATTCACTGGACAAGTTCTCTGCTCCCATGATGCGCCAGGCACAGTTCTGCAAGTATATTGTGAATGTATCATTCTAGTGGGATACACAAATAAGTCAGTTAAAATACATAAATAAAAACATAAACCTGCCATAGATTTCACATTTGCTGGTGATGGAAGTCGGCAGGATGGTGTGAAGAAACTAAGTAGATGAGGGGAGAGGCCAGTGAAGGAGACTTTAGACAGGATGGTTGGGAGGTGAGATCCGAACTGCTACCCAGAAGAGGAGAGTCTGAGGACTAGTATTCCCAAAAGGCAGATGCCAATGACTGACCTGAGGGCCTTCCTCCAAGACTTCATTGTCATATGATGTCATTAGAGAGGTGTCAATGTGGAGAGAAGCTGACCACACAAGAGCCTTGAAATGTGCCATCCTGGAGAGGCCACCCCAACTAAAGGCCCAGCCTCAGCTTTGCACCACAGGATAGCTCTGGCCAACTGGAGACTGCTGCTGGCCAGTCTAGGCACCCTCTTCCTTAGGTGACACCAAGAGGGTATAGGCCCTTTCTCTCAGCTTCCCAGGTAGATCATCCCAGGATGACCTGCGCATCATCCTTCTGGACAAACCATTTTCAGGAGGATCCACGGTGGCAGATGTCGAAAGGTCAGTCCTCAGGACTTTGGTGAAATTGATGAGACCATGGCTCAGATAGGAGATCATTCTAGCCATTTACCACAAGAGAAAACATCCAAGCTACAAATCAATTGCTTCAGTTCTGCTTTCCCAAGATATTACCATGGCATGATGACTGGATTGGGGGCATAGTCTGTTGGCACCCCCACACATTTGCCACCTCCCCTTTAGGTTCCTTTCTCATCTCACTCTCAAAGAAAAATGCACTTTCAGATTTTGGGGCCAACAAAATTCACCCCATGTGTTGAAGTCCATCATCCATCATCTTCTAAACAGAATTTCAAGAGATTAGCCTGGAATTAGAGTCAGAGGTTTCAGTTCAAGTCTCTGATCTGCCATGTACTTGTTCATCCATGGGTAAATCATGCCAGTCCCTCTGAAGTCCTGATTTCATCTTCAATATTAGCATGATCATAATGGTCTTACAGGGTTATTGTGAGGACCTAACAAGATAATGCATGTGAACAGCCCCACAATGTATAAATTAAGTGATTATCATTATTCCAGGACAGACACCAGGAGTCAGACGATAAATCCCCAAGGAATATTGGCTATGCAGCACCATAGTAAAACCTGAAGAGATGCTGAAATGAGTTGGGAGAGGGGAAGTGGTGGGAGGCTGCTTGATGCATTAGAAAAGAAGTTTCGGCGGGGGGCAGTGACTCGCATCTGTCATCCCAGCATTTCAGGAGGCTGAGGCCAGAGGATAGCTTGAGCTCAGGAGTATAAAACCAGCCGGGGCCACACAGTGAGACCCTATCTCAACAAAATATCAAAAAATTAGCCAAGTGCGGTGGCATGTGCATGTAGTCCCACCTATTCAGAAGGCTGAGGTAGGAGGATTGCTTGAGCCAGGGAGGTGGAGACTGCAGTGAGCTGTGATCAAGCCACTGCACTCCAGCCTGGGTAAGAGAGTGAGACCCTGTCTCAAGAAAAGAGTTTCCTGTATATGGAAAATTTCTGAACAGAGGAGACAAGTTAAAGGTGTGGTTCAGTGGAGAGAAGGGGGAACGATTTCCTGGCTGACAATGATAGAACACTCCTTTCTAGCCCTTACCTAGGATTAGAGAATAAAGTACCTATCAGGTAACAAATCTCTTAGAGATGTGTGTCTCTACCTTTAATGTATAATACCTACACCTGGAGATCTGGTTAAAATATAGATTATGATTCAAGGGTCTCTCAGTGAGGCTTGGATTCTGCATTTCCAACAAGCTCCCACGTATGCTGCTGGTCCATGAACCACACTTTGAGTAGCAATTCTAGAGGTTAGGGAAGACTCCTGTGTAGCAAAGATGTTTGAGCTGAGAGCTGAAGGATGAGAAAAATGTGACTAAGAAGTTTTTTAGGTGCAGGAACGAGCTTGTTCAAAGGCCTCGTGGCACTGGGGAAAACTAGAAGGTCTGTGGCTGGAGTGCAGAGAGTTTGGGGAAAGAAGTGAGACGGAACTACAGAGAGCATGTGACCAGGCATGCAGACCATGTATGAGGTATCTAGATTTTTAATATTCACTTTGACAGTGAGGAGACACCACTGAAGACTGGTTAACAGGAAAGATACATGATCAGATCTGTATTTTGAAAAGATCATTCTATCTGACTATAAATGACATATGGGTGGCAAGGAGGTGTAAACAAAGTGGATGCAGAACACCAGTTAGGAATTAGGGGGCGAAAGTGGTCTTTACAGCAGGTAGTTTGACTAATAGTGGCAGAGATGGAGAGATGTGGGATATCTGAGAATATACAGGAAGTAAAATGGGCAGAATTGTGTAAAGGATTCAACATGGGTAAGGAAGAGAAAGCTCTAAGGGATGTTGCCTGAGCATTTGGCCACAATGTGATGTTGAGGGTGCCATTCACTGCAGAAAAAAGCAGTGGAAGACAACCAAGTTATGGGGGGAAAGCACAAATTTGGTCTTGAACATATTGAGTTTGAAGTCCCTGTGAGTGATCCAAGGTGAAGGTCAAATAAGAGGTGGCTTCATGGGTCTGGAGCTCAGAACAGAGGTGGAAGCTGGAAATCAGTCTGGACATCAGGTTTGTATTGTTTGTATGGGTGGTGTTTGAAGCTGTGGGAATAGGCAAGATCCCAAGGTGGAGACAGTGTGAGATGAGAGGAGGGCCTAGGACTAAGTCTCTGAGGATTCCAGACACTGAACGATGGTGTCTAAATGATCCAGACAGGAATGGCCCTAAAAGACAGCACCACCAGCCTGGTCACTACCAATACAGACCCCTCCTGCAGTTGCTTCATCCCATTGGACTTCAGTCATTGCCTCAAGAACCAGGATGATAATGGCCTGCCCATGCTCAGCACCAGTGCCATGAGCTGGAAGACGATTTCTGCAATGGAGAAAAGGGGAGCAGGAGAGACTCAGCAGCAAAGGAAGGGAGTGTTTAAAGGAAGAGGGGGTCAACAGTGCCAAATGCTGTTGAGAAATGGAGATTCAACCAGGATGGGAGTGATGAAACCCAAGGAAGTGGTCTCCTTGTAGAGGACTGAAGCTAGGGCTGAATACAGGGCCAAGCCAGTCTTCCATATGCATAAGTTGTACTGTAATAGCCAGTTTACATGTCTGTCTCCCTGGAGTAATGGTCTCCAAAGCGGACCTTGTCCACCCTATTATCCTTAAAGTCTAGTGCAAGTCCTGGAATGTAGTGGACACTTAAATTTTACTGATTAGTGAATGGGTGGATGAATGAATGAATGAGTAGTGGCAAATGATTGGAAGCAGAGGAAGAATCTCTGGCATCTGCCTGGACTAGCTACTATCCTTCAGCTTTTTTTGCTTTTTACCGCAATGGCCTGCAGACCCAGGAAAGAGACGACAGAGCCCCATTCCCCTCCCTCCCCTGGGCCCTGGCCCCCCTTCCTCTATCTGACGAAGAGTCTGGACCGAAGGTTCTGCTGACGTGGGAAGGGGAGGAGAGTCTAGAGGAAGAGGAGGGGAAAGCAGCGCAGAGATCGCAGAGACCAAGGAGGCGCCCGCGGCTGCAGAGCTGCGGAGCGGGATCTCTTCGGGCTCTCTGGGTCCGGGCAGTCGGCGCGCAACTGGGCCAGAGGACAGCGCATCCTTTCGGCGCGGGCTGGCAGGGCCCCTGCGGTCAGCAAGCTGGCTCCCCGGGTGGCCACCGGGACCCCCGAGCCCAATGGCGGGGGCGGCGGCAAAATCGACAACACTGTAGAGATCACCCCCACCTCCAACGGAGTAAGTGCCCGAGCCCCAGGTGGCGACGCCATCCTCTCCCCACACCCCCGCCCCCGCGGAGCGCCCTTCATTTTCCTCCTGCGCATCCCCCGCCCCTGACTGCCTTCCTAGCCCTCGCTCCCGCCTGCCCCCTGCCCTTGCTCTGCGGTTTCCTCCGCTTCACCCTTCTCCTGCCACCCCCTGCCCCCCAACAGCAGGTCGGAACCCTCGGAGATGCGGTGCCCACGGAGCAGCTGCAGGGTGAGCGGGAGCGCGAGCGGGAGGGGGAGGGAGACGCGGGCGGCGACGGACTGGGCAGCAGCCTGTCGCTGGCCGTGCCCCCAGGCCCCCTCAGCTTTGAGGCGCTGCTCGCCCAGGTGGGGGCGCTGGGCGGCGGCCAGCAGCTGCAGCTCGGCCTCTGCTGCCTGCCCGTGCTCTTCGTGGCTCTGGGCATGGCCTCGGACCCCATCTTCACGCTGGCGCCCCCGCTGCATTGCCACTACGGGGCCTTCCCCCCGAATGCCTCTGGCTGGGAGCAGCCCCCCAATGCCAGCGGCGTCAGCGTCGCCAGCGCGGCCCTAGCAGCCAGCGCTGCCAGCCGTGTCGCCACCAGTACCGACCCCTCGTGCAGCGGCTTCGCCCCGCCGGACTTCAACCATTGCCTCAAGGATTGGGACTATAATGGCCTTCCCGTGCTCACCACCAATGCCATCGGCCAGGTGAGGCGGCCAGGCGGGCCGCGGGTCTGGGGGCGGGCAGAGAGCTGCGAGGGCGGGGCCTCACGCCCCCTGCACCCTTCTCACGTCCCCAGTGGGATCTGGTGTGTGACCTGGGCTGGCAGGTGATCCTGGAGCAGATCCTCTTCATCTTGGGCTTTGCCTCCGGCTACCTGTTCCTGGGTTACCCCGCAGACAGGTGAGGGGTGTCATGGGGGCAGGGCTGGTAGAAAGGAGGGGGTGCTAGGGAAGCTAGCCCAAGCAGCGGGCGCTTACAAGAGGTCGAAGACGATTCGCTGGACCCTGCAGTCTTCTCTGGACTTCTATTCAATGGTCTACCCATGTCTCAACTTCACTCCCCATCAAGAAATACACCTTCCCTACCTCTTCCGTGCAAGGGAATGACTCGACCTCCATGGACTATTAGTTCCATTCCCACTAATTAGTGGCCCCCCCATCCATTAATCAATGGCCTCATCTCCAAAGAGAAAAGTGTCATTCCCACTAACAGCCCACATGGACTGTTAGCTCCATCTCAGTGACCTCATTC